TGGGCTTGCCTAGCCCGACAGAAATCCGCTTTCTAGATATTACACACCGGCGCCGTATACGTGAGTAAATTGTTTCGTTATTTTATTGATTATAAGAAATCAATATTCAAAACGACCCAATTCATTTTCCCGAAAATTTGGGAATACAATAATTTTATTCTTAGTATTACACTACATCTATCCCAACTGATATACGTGTCCTTGCAAAAATGTTGATGACGTCATCACAATTTTTTTTTAAATTCCCACTACAAAAATGTAATGAGAAAAAAAAACACAATAGGCATGCAGTCGTCAAGTTTCCGACAGCGAGGGAAGTACTGTCTAAACTCTTTAGACCAATTTTTTTTGTCGCATTCTTTTGGCCATTGTTTTAAATTTTCGTCTCTTTTTGCGTTTTTTCTCCCTTCTCTTGTCGCTCCCCCTCTCTCTCATTTCGTTTTTCTCGTTTGTTTCCACTTTCCGGTTCGTTCTTGCTCGTTCGTTTTCGTTCCTTCTGTCGTCCTCTCCTTCTCATTCTATCATTCTTTCCCTTTATTTTATACCTCTTTCTCATGTGTTCTCTTTTTCTCTTGTTCTCTCTTTGTGTCTCTTTCACTCATTCTCACGATCCCGTTCTCTCTCGTTTTCTGTCACGCGTTTTCTCTGTCTCTTCCCCCCCTCCATTCTCTTGTTCTCTTCCTCTCTCTGCCTCGTGTTCTTTTTCTCTTCCAATAAATGAACATTTGAAAAGCTAAAAAATAGATTGTGGCCTTTTTTGTCGCTTTTTTCTCCGCTTTTTTATCATAGTTTGTATTTGTTTTCGTGGTCTTTTTGAGCGCCTTTTTTGTCGGTTTTTTGGTTTTTGTTCTTTTTGCCTTTTTTTAGAATCGACTTTTTTTCTGGTTTTTTGACGCCCTTTTTCTCCGACTCCTTTTTTAAATTTTAGTTTGGTCGTATTTTTCTAGTATTTTTTCTTGACTGCTTAAAATCGTTTTTAAACTATCGGAAAAGGCAATTCTGAATTAAATCGTGGAAGTAAAAAATGCAAAAGATGTTACGAAAAAGAGTGACAGCTGACACTACATGAGGAAAAAACAAAAAGTCTGAAATAAAAAATGTTTTTTTGACGAAAACTCAGAGACCACAGACAGAGCTTCAAGAAACTAAAAGTTGAGAAATATGCTAACGAGTTACGGCGATTCTATGAGACAACCTGCAGAGCAAGTTCGCAAATGAAAACAAACTAAATATCTACAAGTGACCTTGACAAGAATGTAGCGAAAATGTTACTAACAAACGACCGTAATTTTTATTCATGTAACAGCGGTCCCTCTTAAATTGTAAATTAAATAAAAAATAGATGTGATATAATTTAATTAAAAAAACGCAATTACAAACCCGCTCCCAGGCTCCACTTTGTCGCGTTTCGACGCGAAAAAACACCAGGAAGTGTGGATCCAACAGCACCTGACCGTAATAACAAAGCGTACAAAACGTCAATACATTTGTCCCAGCACGTACATATTTAGCAAGTAAACTACACATGCAAATTGAGTGCAAATACGAACATTCCGGAGCCCCCGAAGGACTCAAAACCGCCGACAGATTTCAAATATGTTTGTGGAAGCGAATGCATATTGATGGGTTGCGTTGGGTTCGCTAGTGGCATTTTCAGCTCTGTAGAAGAACGTCGCTTTAAATCTTGTCGAATACGTACATTATGAATATTTATCTCGGAAACGTGGTTATAAATAGGGTCTGTGTAAGTTGGAATAATAGGATATCACGTGGGATTATGGATAGTCGTGTCGGTGACAGCTAATCCACACCCTGTGACAAAGTGATAACGATAGTAGAGAAAAGGATGAGTGTGTCAAGTGTTACGATTCGGTTAAAAATAAAAATAAAACCATTAGTTCGAAAAATTGATTAATTTTAATCGCATCAATTTAGTTTTAATTGGAATTTCTGGGGCGTAGGAGGATCACTTCATTGTGTTTCTCTGTTCGGACATTTCATGATGAAAATTTAACTCAACGATTCAAATTACAAACGTTGAAATTAGTTTGTGTTCAGAAAACTTTCGCCAGGTCTCGTACACTAAAATCCCATTTGAAAGTCCAGGATTTATGCTAGAGTGACCGTAGACGAAAATGCGATACAGGACCCAAGGAGTGTACGTTAGATCCCCTCGCCAAAGGGAATTGCTGTGGCTATGTTAATTTAATCTCCGAAATTTGTTCCATAAATTACGTGAAATTGGGTTATTCGGCCTTCTGTGTTGCGTCCTCTTCGAATTAATGTAGCAAAGGTTGCACAATAAAAATTAACTCTGAAAACACCACACGGAACGTCGTTCCAGACGAAGCATTGCAAGAAATTTACTGACTTAATTTGGTTTCCGTTTTCGTGAGATAATAAATTCAGAACAACTAGGGAAATTTGCATTCGGATAAAATAAGACCAATCTTTTTTGGTTGGTTCCGATGATGAACATTACGTTCTGGTAAGTTTCTTGCGATGGTGGTGATGGAACAAAGTACACAAATCGTAAATCAAATTTATTTACAAAAACTACCTCCAATATCCAGAAAACTCATTTCGGTAAGGTTTGACGTCCGTAAAAAATCAAAGTATCGGTTACAAAATGAGACTGGCTGCAGCACAGTGGTTTTTCGCGAACACAAGACAAAGAACTATCCGGATCCAACCAGTGTTACTACTGCACCAATTTGTGTAATTCGGTAGCTTTAACGATTATTCTGGAAGAGATTGCCACAAATCCGTCGGTACAAAGGCAATCGTCGTTCTGGGTTTTGTGTTTTGTAGCTGCCAGGATAATGGTCTTGTCAAGTGAAACATAGATAAAAATTGTTATGTTATTTTGAATGAATGTATGGGTTTTTAATAATTTTATTTCTTACAGGTTATGCAACCAATTAAACACCTACAAAGAATTTTTGAAATATTTGAAAACAGAGTTAATCACTTTATGAGGGTCATTAGTCTTTGTAAGCCCCGAGTTCGGATTTTTCGGTTCTTGAATATTCTATTTTTTGAATTTTTAAATTTTTCAGTTTTTTGATGTTTCGATTTGGAAGTCAGAGGACTGATATTGGCGAAGAAGTTTAATCGTAAGTAGACAAAACCAAGAGTGGACACCAGTGGCGGCTCGTCAGGGGGGGCCAGTTAGGCCAGGCCGAGTCTGTCACCGAACTTGTCAATTTGCGATATTCATTTTTATTTTAAACGCAAGAATATAATTTAAAGCTATTTTGAAATCACCTGATTTTACTGTTGTTATTATTTTTTTAATTACAAAAAGCGTTATCTAATTTATTCACTTTCGTTCGGAAGCACAAATCGTGCCGGGAAGTTTAAATATTTTTACTGCGAGGAGCAGCAGCTGAGGCCGGCCGACTACAAGAATAAACGTCGAATAATGTCATATCTGCTATCGCTCTCTGTTTAGCGGAATTAAAGAGAAATAGCTATAAAGACTGATACGTGTCTGATACCCTCTGATTAACGCGCCTGCAGCAGTGATTGGTCAAATGTCTGCTAAAATCGGCCGGCCTTTTGGCAGTACATCAAGTTGTTATAGCGCTATCACCTTCTGTTTGTATAAGTTAGAAGGCAATAGCGATGAAACCGTACAATATTACGTTTCATCACTCCACTTCTGCCGTGCACTTTTCCATGCGGTTCCCCACTACCAGCACCGGCCGGCCGCTGTCTGTATATTGTGAATTTCTGCAGTCTTCACGTGGATGGAAATTGGTTTAGGTTTGTTTCTAATTTCAGTAACAATGACAACAGTTAGTAAGAGAATTAGTAACTGATTTAAATTTTGATGCTGTTACACATCTATTAAATAATGACTTTCGACTTTTAACATACGATGATCAATTCCTGGGATATAAAAGAAATGACCCGTTCGGAGCCGCGCATGCAACATTTAATCGAAGCACGGAGCAATAATAACGTCAGCTCCGGTGCAATAGCATATTAATAATTAATAATTAATACAGCATGGTATGAAAATTATGAATGGCTGACGGGGAGCAAGTCAAAAAACAAACTATTTTGTTGATATTGTTTAATTTTTGAATATGATGTTGACAATAAATTCAAAAAAACTTCAGAAAAAGAGTTTTGCCTCTGGTCGTCTGGTACGATTGACATATTGAGTTACCGTGCTCTTTTGCCATCTTCCTAATTTCTCAACCCTGCTCCTGATGATGCTACTTACAAAAATGTAGAAGCCTCCGAAATTATTTCTGTCTTTAATTTTAATCATATGCCTACCATCCACATCAGCATATGTTGAACGCAGTTTTTCAGCTTTAAAGCGAATTACAAATTTTACTAGAAACTCCATTAGTCAAAATCGATTATCCAAATTATTCGTTTTAGCAATAGAAAAAGAAGTGCTTACAAACTTAACGGAAGATCAAAAGTTCTATAATCAAGTAATTGACCACTTTGCCAATACAAAACAAAGACGCATTGAATTGGTTTATAAAAATTTCTAATTTACTTTTTTAATTTTGTTTTTTACTAATAAATAGTTGTTGACGTTTCATGTTATATTTTTTGTTAGAATGTGTTACTTTATAACTTGAATGTTATTTTCATTTTTATTTGAGTTTATTGTCGTTATTTTATTATTATAGATGGCTTATATTGTATAAGTATATGCTTTACTTTATACCTATTTGAAGAATATTTTTTATTTTGTTTTACCAAGTTGTTAGGACTATATGAATTAACACCATACAGGAAGCAAATTATAGATAATGACTGACTTGAGGTCCCTGGTTCTTGTATTCTATGTCTTAAAACTTTGGGTTACTCACTGCTGGCCGACCCAACCAAAATAGTCACGAGCCGCCACTGGTGGACACGACGTGGTGTCTGGTTGACGAAGAATCGGGAAAGTTCTAGACTATGGAAACAGCACGACAAAAGAATCCGTGACTTAGCGATTAGAGAAGAAACGTAAAGAAATAAATAAATAATTTCGCAATTATTTAATTCAAAGATACCAGAAGGCTGCAAAACACAAAACCCAGGATAACAAATGCACTTGTAGCGATTGGTCTGTGGAACTCTTCGGCCCAACAACCGTTAGCGGCCCCCCATTGCAAAAGTTTTCGAAACAGAGAAAACACTTTTCTCTACCGTTCGTAGTGTTGACGCACATCCCCTTAGACCAATCCTGGCTAACACAACCTCTTGTTTCCTCTAGAGTATCGAAGCCTACAAATTCTCAACGTATCAACACCGCAACAATAACCAGTTACTTACTGTCACGTATAACATGCGCACGACATGCGTCCTGGCCCCTCTTACAGTCCTGAGTCATAAGAGGCTTCTTGCACGAGTACTTACAGTAGTAACACTGTGTAGGGCCGGCAGGTTTTTCTTCACTGCCGTCGGCGGGTGACTCTTCATCTTGGGTTAAGCAAGTTGTCATAAGCAAAAGCAGACCACAAACTGCTGCAACCAGTCTCATTTTGCGATTAATTAAATTCACACAAACATGCTGATTTTATTTTTTGCGAACGTCAAAAATTGACGAATTGAGATTTCTAGATGACGTTTGAATTTAGAAAAAATCGCCTCATTTTACATTTGTGTTTGCAGGTAGAGACCATTCGGGTGGTGCTCAAAAAAGAACTCGACCTTCCCATAATCGAGATATCCGACAGCAAGGCGAAACTGGACGGTGGCGATGTCCTATTCACTGGTAAGCGAAACCAGAACCACCCCATCTAGGATCTCAGACTCGGTCAAAGTACAACCAACACATTCTTTTCGCGGAGTGTCGTACTTCGGTCGAGTCTGCCATCCCCGACTAATAAGTAATCGATCGCCGCCTTTCAGGTAGGGAATTTTTTGTGGGTATCTCCCAGTGGACGAACGAGGCTGGTGCCAGAGCGGTGGCGGCTGCTTTCCCCGAATACCCTTGTACACCCATCAAGGTAAAACCCGAGACCCTTGCTCTGACTGATCTAGCTCAGGGCTTTGTGCAGGTAAGCGTGCTTTTCTGGGCACCGTCCAGTTGCACGCTACCACACTATACACACACGAAAAGTAATTATTACACGACGGTAGTTGTATTTTTTGCTCGAGACCGAGCTGATCGAAGCGCTTGGAAATGGCTTGCGATTTGCGTACACACGAACAAATTAGTTTGGGAAGTATTTGCAGCTTTTTGATTGGGCGCATGCTATGTTTTCAGCTTGAAGTTTGATTTGGGTCGCGCGGTAATGCGGAGTTTGACTAAATAGATCCCACCGATGCGGTTATTGGGTGTTAATAAATGATTCAAGTGCATCAAGTGGTTTATGAAATTCAATTATTTGTGTGCCGCTTCATTCGAATTTATGCTATTACTATGTGTATCTATTTGAGTCCTATTTGAACTCGGAATGTTTTGCGCCACTAGGTCTCTCGATTCAACTCGGCTGGATTTTTCAGTTTCCGGTTACCAGAAAAATAAATAAATAATTAACAATTTGGAAGAACTAACCCAGCAAATAAATATTTTTGAAAATACAAAGCATTGTGGATGATTTGAATATGTTTTGGTTTATTAAATTAAATTTAATTAAATGACACATTAAAATTTATAATAACATTTCAATCCAAATATCCGGTAGAAGTTTGTGGAGAGCGGCATATTTTTTTAATAAGTCCGGTTCACAGCCCGCTAGATGTAAATCATCTATTAACACTCAGTATTGTCGACAGCGTCCGCTCTTATGCAACTAAAGACATATTCTGTAACAATTATCAAGTATAAAACGTTCCAACAGAGAACACAATGAAGTCCTACGCCCCAGTTATTAAAACTAAATTGCTGCGATTAAAACTAATCACTTTTTCGTACCGTGTGAATCAAGATTCCTGCAAATAACGTTTTTATGACACTTGACACACTCATATCCTTTTCTGTTCTATCGTTATCAGGTTATCACTTATCACTTTGTCATAGGGTGTGGATTAGCTGTCGCCAGCACGGCTATCCATAATCCCACGTGATAACCTATTCCAACTTACACAGATCCTATTTATAACCACATTTCCGAGATAAATATTCATAATGTATTCGACAAGATTTAAATCGACGTCATACAAGAGTTTTTTTTATAGAACTGGAAATGATACCATTGAAACGAACGCAAAAGAACACGTTCTCATTCACTTCCACATATTTGAAATCTGTTGCCGGTTTTGACTACTTCGGGGGCTTTGGAATGTTTATATTTGCACTCAATTTGCATGTGTAGTGTACTTGCTAATTATGTACGTGCTGGGACAAATGTATTGACGTTTTGTACGCTCTGTTAGTATTGTTAGGGTCAGGTGACAGTACCTGGTGTTTATTCACTTTGATTAAATGATTGTATTAAATTTATAGTTTTTTATGTAAATTAGTATTACACTATAAGATCTAAAATATATTTGTGACCGCATATTTTCAGGACTAGTTGCAGAAACAAAATCACTGTTAAGCTTCAATAGATTGAATGAACTCTATTTTCAGATCTTAATTACATATTAACGTAAACTGTAAAATGTAGTAGAGTATTCTTTTCTTTGATTAAATCTTCAAAATTTCTAACTTGTCAAATGAAATGTTGAATAAGGTTATGTTTGTTTTCCGACTCATGAATGATGGGTTGCCTAGAGTCAAGGGGCGAAAATTTGCGCAAAAACTTAATTTTAAATTCGCATCTTCGATATGTTGACATTTTTGATCGTCCGTTATTTTATGTAGTTGCACAGTCCGAAAGAGGAATTTTGCAATGATACAACGAACAAATTCGAGGCTCCGTTTTGTCGAATATTCACAATCTGACAAAGACGAAAGCTTGAGAACAAAGTTTGAACGCATACGTGATATATCTATAAAGTCTGAATAAAGGAAGCTGATCCCAGTGAATACAAAGAAGTTTCAGTCTGCAAAAATGATTTCTTAACCGTCGTTGCATTGCCTTCAATCAACCAACGAGATAAGTTTTCGAATTTACTTTACTTTTAACAGTTTACCTTTTTTTTAAGATTAACTTATTAATATATTTAAAAGCAGAAATTTTTAGTTTTATTTTTCGTAGTTTTGTATTTAGTGTTAATTACATATTGAGTTTTTTTTTTATACACCTTTAGGTCTTCAGCTCTTTTCCAAGATTTCGTTTGTTGAAATTTTAAATTTTCTTAAGGGGTTGATATTTTTTTTTTGCTGTGTTAGTCCATGTGTTATCTGTTTTCGTTTCCACCACTTAATTTTGTAGATTTTGTCTTTGACATGATTTTAATTTTTTTCAAAAAGATTTCAAGATATACAGGGTGATTAAAAAAGGCGCACTAACTCTGTGTCAAGTTGTTCAGGACTGTTTATTGAGCAAACCAAAAAAATTAAAAAAGCCGTGGGCCCAAATGTAGAAAACACAGACCGCCAACGTTTAATTTTTCTTTTAGATATTTACCCTTTAGTTAGTGCGCCTTCTATATTTTTATCCTGAGAAAATTTCAAATTTTTTAATCCGGAAGGAGTCTAAAATAGAAATTTTACTTTACAATTCATTGTTTTTTCTCAAGCTCTTAGCTTCTGAAAGTTCATTGTAAATCCTGGTTTGTTTTTACTGTTCGAATTTTTTTCGAAAATCCCATTGTCTCGCGGTTTTAAAAATGTTTGATGACTTGATTATTTTCAAAATCCATTTGTTGTTGAAATTTTGAAAAATTGGGGGTGCTTCTGTCACTTTTTCATAATTCGCAGAATATCTCTCAATATATCTTTTTGAGCAAACCATCTTTAGAACACACTTTTTATTTATTGTTTTTTTTTTTTTTCTCTCAAATAGTTAGGATTTTTCCGCAAATTTTGAAAGTCGATATTTTTTAAATTTAGAAACTTCACACTAAGATATACATTACGCGCACGGTGTTCGATATCTTATTAATTACTAGAGATAAAAAAAGTCAACGACGAAAGTTGCACGATTCTTTGACAACTATACTCTAAAATTATTCTTAATTATACGGAGTGTTGGTTTTAAGGTGTTTGAAATTCCGATGCGATGTTGCCACGTTATTGCAATGTTCTTGATTTTTTTGGCAATGGAAGGGTTCACAAAAAAATTCGAACTCTGAATATGTATATTTTTTTTGAGGACTTTCCAAAAGTTTTTTCCCCACGTGTTATAAAACTAAAACATTTGAGGTTTATCTTCCCGTAAGAGTGTTATTTATTTTAGTCAAAATGTGCATTTATGTTTCCGCATACTAACTTGTTTTCTTGCACAGTTCTGTTTAACCAAATTTAATAACTAGATTAAAAAAATACGTGGAATCTGTTTACTGTGAAATTACGGTGTTAAAAAATTCGTTAAGCAAATACAGAATTTTGTCTGATGTGCATGCAACTCCTCATTTCGACGAAATTGCCTGTCCTAAATGCTGACAAGGCATTAATTTTGCGGTCACGTCTAAACCAGATGTCTTCGTTGACAAGAAAAGTTTCAGTATTCGTAGGAATGCTGTGCTTATCTAATCCGAACGACTGACGATGCAAAAATGCAAGATACGCGTACTCGGGTTCTAGGTTCAGTCCAGAAGATGTACTCGTTATAATAATTATAATCATCTGGCATTCCCATGAGAACCAGGACATTTTTGTGTATCCGTCGTAATGAATTTTTCCAAGAATAATAATTAACGTTTACGAAATTTTCTGCCGAACGCCTTATTGTTCGAATACTTCTCACAACATTAACCCCCTTCCGCCCTCCGCTGCATAGAAAGCTTAAGAGCTCGTTACTGTTTACGGAAGTGCGCATTTATTCCGGTTTGATCGGTCGATAACAGACGCTGGAATTGAATTCCAAACTGCGAGATAAAAAATTCATCCGAGTACTTACTTATCTCGATCGATTTTTCAACGCATCCATAAAATTCCAGTAACCGGGTCCCAACTGTGTTAACGTCGAGCTATTACCAAACCGAATAAAAACTTGTTAAAACAAACAAGCTCTCACGAGAAAAATCCAAGGAGTTTTTATTGTGTGCGCGAAACGGGGCTATCTGTCGACTAATTTCGGACCGTAAACTTCAAACGTCACAAGTAGACGCATCCTGGAGGAATTGAACACCTGCCACAGCTTTGTTACATTTCGTGTCAACTTTGCTGCCGGGTTAGAAGCTCGCGAAAACTGTTTTAATTATTATTCATCGTTACAATTCAACATCACGTATTCCGAGTTTATCGCTCTCATTTGCATCACCATTCAACAATCAAGATTCAATTAAACTTGCTTTTTGCAACGATGAATAAATTATTCCCTTCGAGGATTAAGAAACGGCCTACTTTATCGTACTGAACTCAACTACCGTACACAGGGGCGGACTGTGGTTGACTTTCTCATCAAGAAAAAAAATTTTCAAGAAAACCATTTCATTCGTTTCGAGTAATAATTTAAATCCCTGGAAAACGGTAACACACCCCAAAAAAAATCGACCAGTCCACCCCTGACCGTACGCAACCCTTGTTTCTTAGTGCCGTACATTTATTTTGCGCTTCCTACGTTGCTTCGAGTCGTAGGCGAGTTCTATGAATGCCGTTTTATAAAAGCCGCTTAGCCTGCACAACAAAACACCGCCACTCTGACACTTGGTAATGCGTATCAGGTACCGGATCCCAAACACCTAAAAACGTACATAACAGTCGGGGGGCCGGATCTGCTTTGTGTAGGGGCCGGTAAGGAGGCGCAGGAAGTGCTGAAAAGGATGGAAAGAGAAGCCACTTTCAGCTACCAGACGCTGACTCTGCCTGAAGACGAAGCGGCCAACGTCCTCTACTTGAACGGCACCCTGGTCCATCGCAGCATCGACGAAATACCGCAGTCCTTCAAGGTGGGTCTTGGATCGTTGGTTGTCTGGAATTGCACGGAATAAATTTGGTGGTTTTTCAGGTGTTCAGCGAGAAGATCGACTACCCCAGGAGGTCCGTGAACATCTCGCAGCTGGCCAAGACGTCCTGCGGACTGACTTCCAGCTGCATTCTAGTCAGAAGATCGCGCCACATAAGGAATCTTTAAGCGTGCCCATAACCTACAAAGCCACCTCAGGTCTTCAGCGACGGAACCGGCGGCGATTCGCGCGCAACACGGATTACGTTAAGTAGCACACGCTTCTGCTTGGTTCGAGTCGCCGCCGGTTTCTAAAATTAACCGAAAAGATCAATTCTGGAAAATATCCAATATATCCGAGTCGTTAAGGGGGTCGTAAAGTAGCATTTATAAAACATAGACAGCTATATTTATTGACAAGTATAGGAGTACTAAATATGTTCTATTATTAGTGTTATATCTTGTTGATTTATGTTTGTTTTCGCTAGAGATGTTATTGTAAGTTGAGCATACTCAAAAATGAAATTATTTTTAAAACGAGGAACTCGAATAAAAATTGTTACTTGTATGGACCTTTACCATTCCATTTTGATGAAAGCATTTATTTTTTAAGTAAGTTTACATTACATTAGGTAGGTACCGTAGCATTAAATGCAATGCCAGTCATTATTGAGGTGCATTAAGTTGAAGTTTCGAAGCAATGTGCATTTGTGACAATACTGAAACCGTTGTTTTTGTTGACGCGAAACGCTAAAGCAGGTTGTAGCTGCAAAATCAATGAGAAGCTTTACCAGCGGTCTTTTTTTTTTCTTCATTCCACTGTTTGGAGTATTATTTTCCATTGCAAACACGTGCTGATTTTTAATATTAGGAATCTATTTTTGTATGTTTATTTAAATGTATGTATTTATACTAACACAACTAGATGAGAAGAATCAAATTTTGAAAACTATAAAAGGATTAACTGTGATTCCATTATCAATAAGGAAGATTTCTAGTAGATTGTTACGTTTTACGACTCGTTCGATTTTATTGTAGCTTTTATGGTTTTCAACTTTGGTGTGTTTTGTACGTTATAAATAGACATTACAATTAACATCGTCTGTGTTATGTACTGTATACATGGTCTTTGTCCTAGGTGTCGTCTAGTTGTGTATAATTGTGATTCAGAATCTCTCTTTAATAAAGCTACTGAAAAATCCGCCCTGACAACTTTACTTCAACAAACAAAATTAAAAATAACTTTCAAAATCAGTGTTACCAAGAGATTTTTATTTTTATAAAATACAAGGACGAGCCTCGATTCTTTCCAAGTCTTTAAAAGACAGTAGTTATCCTCGAATCAGGTGCTCCTATGATTTTTTCAGATTATTTCAAAAACAACGAGAATATTCAACTTTCTTTAAAAAGAAAACACAGTTGACTCTGGAGATTCTTAAACATTCTTAAAAAAGACTAGGGTTCCCTGAAATTTGTTCATATCCTTTAAAATTCATCCTTTCATATTTAAAAAAAAAAGAGACACAAAGAATACCTGGAATTTTTCCACATTAATTAAAGAAGACACAAGGGACCCATAAAATTGTTGAACATTCTTAGAAAAAGACGCAAGGGGCTCTTGAAATTCTTTCACCTCATTTAAAAAAAGACACAAGTTTCTTTCACACTCTTTAAAGCCACCCTGGTGATCTTTCACATTCCTAGAGAAAGACACAATAAGGGGTCCCTGAGATTCTCTTACATTAAAAAAAGAGGCAACGGGCCCCTGAGATTATTTCACATTCTTTAAAGAAGGACGTAAGGGGCCACTGACCTACTTTAACACTAAAAAAAGAGACAAATTCTTTAAAAAATAAAATGGAAGAAGAAGCCCCGAGCATTATTTCCAAGACTTTGAAAAATAAAATGTTAGGGATCTTCGACTTCTTTGTTAGATTCTTTCAAAAACAATACATCGGAGGCTCCTAAGATTATTTCACATTTTTGCGATACAAATAGAGAAGGTTCTCGAGTTTCTGCGATACTGCATACTGTTTAAATTTGTTTCTTGTAACGTGCTTTCAATCATTTAAACGGTGTAGTAGTTATGCAACCAGAAATACAATCCGAGTGAACCAAAGTGGTGTAATCTGTAGTCCAATGCAAGAAATTAAACGAACAAGAGGCAAGAAATCGTAGTATAGGTCATCCACGAAAATAGTGGTTTTATGATTTTGGCTTTTCCAAACCCCTCGTTTTTCGAAAAAAGAGCATGTCAACTGTTATACCTCCAAACAGACAAACCGATCTTGTTTAGAAGAAGTGTGTTGGCCAAACACATCACAGAAGAGCTACTTAAGTTTGGAGTAGTGTAATAAAAGCTGCATTATTCGTTGTCAAAGATGACCAAGGAGTTAAAGTCGTTAATTCTGGTTTCTTTATACCTAGTAGTTTATCCACTATCTACCCCAGACCCCAGCTGGTTTATATATCTTCAACTTGTCACCAAGAAGGAGGTTTTTCACCGTTGGAACTAAAACGGATTCATTCGTGGTCGATCCACAAAGAAAAAAAAAATCCAGTATTGCTTTGACCACTCTTTGTCTGTCCTAGGGTGACAGCCACGCAAATAAGCCACGTAACAAAATGGCGCCCCTCACTCCTGCTGTTTCCCAACACCACCTTGACAGAAACGACGCCCAACTCCATCTATTTTTACAATAACAATGACATAACGCCTCGTGCGAAGCGCCAATCCACCAAGAAAAAATCATAGTTCAATGAAAACAAACTTGACTCTTCGTCCTTTACCTTTCGGCGATCCAAATTAGCGCCGAGGCCACCCGTACGCGATCCCGCCAACTCCCTTGCGCAAATTCTGTACACAGTAAAAAACCGAACCACCTGAGGAAGAATTCAGCCCAATTTCAATATGGGCATCATTACCTAACTCAAACTGACGTATCGCGGAGGACTCGGTGGACTCCATCGTGACGTAAAACCCCTATTTTCGGCTCCCGGTGCCCGGGAGAGCACATGACCGACGCCGCTCAGCGTCCTCTCCTCTTCTTCGCAGAGTCACTTGCAGTTCAGTGCGCGATCCGTTCACTCTAGTCGAAACAGTCGTCAGATACAACCCAGCAAGATGTCTCTCGCAGATCCCGTTGCTTTCATGAAAGATTTCGTCGCCGGAGGAATCTCCGCGGCGGTCTCCAAGACATGTGTGGCCCCCATCGAACGTGTCAAGCTGCTCCTGCAAGTCCAACACATCTCCAAACAGATCCCGGAGAACCAGCGCTACAAAGGTAAACTTGTCCTGTGTTTGAGAAGAGATTCCTCCAGATCTGTGAGGATCGCTTCCGTTATATAACCAAGAATGCGGGAATCGACGGAACTTATTTTCGGACCGAAAATATGGATCTGGTTAAAATTAGTTCGCACGTGTTCTAAATACTGGGTTTGTGGACTGCAGAGAGCAGTCGGAGCAAATTTTGTCCTTGCTTAGGCAGCGAGACTTGAATGAAGGGCTATTTTTAGCTGTTAATTCAATTCGAGCAATTAAACTCGACTGGATGAGGCAGCTCTTGCTTTTCGCGGCTGCAAGAGATGCACGGTTTTACGTAAAACTCGTGTCCTTGGGAGCTGCCTGGTAATTGGAGCAAAAAGTCGACACTTGTGCCAAGAACTGAAACCATGCACTGTGTCACTGCCGCACGTGCTGCGAGTTACGTAAAGACATGGCAGAAATAAAAAATCGAGCGGAAAGATTCTGGCTTATTTGGCACAAGAATTTAGAATTGCTACGAAAATTCGCCGCTAAGACGAAAAAGATGTCAGAGGAGGTTCTAGCAGACAACGCAGTGTCGTTTGTCACAGTTTGTCTGATGGACTTGTATCCCACATTGAAAGATAATAATAGTTAACTTTAGGAAAATCCTACAATTCTGAGTTCTGTAAGGGTCATGAATTTGCTGGTTTTACTACAATAACATCGAACAGTTAGCAAAATCTGATCCCTTCCACGTGGACAACACTCCAATGTCAACAAATAAATAATGATAAAGTACAATGTAATGAAATAATGCAAAGGTAGCATTTGTTTTGTTGGTTGCATAACCAAGCTTAATGTGAACTAGGTTCTAGAAGACACTGCCATCGATAGTGGTTTTATTCTATTTATTAGTGTAAACATTATTAATTAATTCGTAATTAAAATATTATCCGTCTTCTAGGTATGGTCGACTGTTTTGTTCGCATTCCCAAAGAACAAGGTGTTTTGGCCTACTGGCGCGGTAACTTGGCCAACGTCATCCGTTATTTCCCCACACAAGCCCTCAACTTTGCCTTCAAAGACAAGTACAAGCAGGTCTTCTTGAGCGGCGTCGACAAAAACACACAATTTTGGCGCTATTTCCTTGGTAATCTGGCTTCCGGCGGTGCTGCCGGTGCCACTTCCCTTTGCTTCGTTTATCCCCTTGACTTCGCCAGAACAAGGTAAGTTCGGTAGATTTAACACGACGAAGTAGTCATAACCGATACGCGTTCAACTTTATACTTATGTTGCCATTTGCGTGTACTTGCAGTGTGAAAGGGCCTTTACAGCAGAGGAGCTGTGTTTAAACTGACGTTTCCGTGTGTGCAGAATCTGGAGAATTGCTGCAACCGCGCCAAGAATAATAAATGAACAAGAAAAAATAGATCCCCACGGAGTAACGTTAACATATTAGATTTCAGTTCTGAAGAAAATATACACTTCCTTTACATTATTTTCAAAGAATACAGGGCGAGTCGACAACAATATTAATATTTTCTACATGACCTCTGTATATTTGAATGAGCTAAATAGGTACGGTAAACGAAATTGATAAGAACTTTCCACGTTCTTGAAATATCAAGTATTTAATTGAAAAATCACTCGGAGTAGGCGTTGGAATTTTATTTGACACAAAGACGAAAGGCATGTCTGCTCTTATTGACAACCATTTGGCAGAAACATAACTTTACATTTTAGAAGAAACCACTGCAATGGTTGGATATCTGGACAGAAATTGTTTGTTTTAATATTTCAGCTTATGTTTCTGCCAAATACAATGGGGGGATAAATAGATATATTTTGGTTAAAAATTGACCGTGCTTCCGATAACTTTAAAACGTCTGCAAGATTTCAAAGCAATCGGTTCAGGAGTTCTTGATTTAATCAATAAAATTAATCAACTCATTTATTAATTTTTTTTAGTCACCTTGTATAAGTAATTTAAAAAACTGTGAGTCCACTGATAAACCACAAGTATAGACTCATAACAATTATTTATTTATCTTCACTAAAACGGTAAAATGTCTTTTATGTAGTAGTTAACAACTAAACTATTTTTGAATATACAGGCAGTATCTTTTATAACTTTATACGTAACAGACAGTGGTTGTGATCACAATGTTTTTCGAAAAACTTCATTAATTTTGGTTTTAAGTTACACTGATTTCGAACTTTTGATTAGAACACTGGTCTTCAGGTTACTATGTTTCGAAAATTCAAGAAAATAAGATGGAAACCACTTTTTTCAAACTGTTTTTTTTTTAGATTTTTTTTAACTAACTTCTTATAAATTATTATTTATTATTCATGGAAAAACCTTAACTAGACGCCATGGTATACTTATTAAAAATGAATCAATATCAAACACATTGACAGTAAAATATCTAGGCTGTTATTGAAAAACAAAGTTATAACTAACTAAATTTCGCCATAATTAACACTGTTTGCTGATCAGTCCGTATTGATAATTTTTTAAAGAACACACTTTGGTAAATATTAAAAATTTTATTATTTTCTTTTAAAAATTAATGGAAAATGTATGCGTTATGCCGTTCACACTGTAAATATACTTTATAATTCATTCTTTCCAAAACGTAACTAGAGTGTTATTCTTTTTATTGAGAACAACCTGTATATAGGAGAATATTTTTAGAATGCATAACTTTAGTTGCCCAATGCAATGGCATAAGTCCTATTTTTATATCTATAGTAGTTGCGAAGACATCGAACCATTTATTACAGAGCAACAAAAACAAACTTTGTTTAAATTTTAATTGAACAAAACTTAATTCAAACAGTATAAAAAACAATGTACACCAACGTAAAAAATGTTAAAGTTTTTTTCAAATTCAGTGCTAAAAAACGTATTGAAATATAAATTCAGTGTTTAACAAAATTGTCGATTAGCTCACACATTTTTCCTTCGTTTTTTATCGAAAATTGTGTGATTTAAAAAATTGTTTAAATAAATAATTAATTTCTTTAGAGTCTGTACAATAAACGACATTGCAGACACAAATGTTTCGATGTCAGTTGGACAGTATAGTACTCACTATCTCAATAAAAAAAGATCTAATTTTAGTTGACTTTGGCCGAGGTATTCAGAGCTAATTTTAAACATCGCGTGTTGTAACTTTGAGTCAATTTGTTGAACGTAAAGTGTTAAACACAAGGTGTCATTAGGCCGTTTTATAAAACAAACTGTTGAAAATAACTGGTGTATTTTTTGTGTCCAGTTTTTTCATTTCCTTTATCACCTTGTCTTTAATCAAAATACTTTTTTGTGTTACAGATTAGCCGCCGACGTCGGCAAAGCTTCAGGAGAACGCGAGTTCAGCGGCTTGGGCAACTGCATCATGAAGATCTACAGAGCTGATGGCCTGATCGGCCTGTACCGAGGCTTCGGCGTATCCGTCCAGGGCATCATCATTTACCGAGCCGCCTTCTTCGGCTTCTACGACACAGCTAAAGGCATCCTGCCCGACCCCAAGAACACCCCCTTGGTGATCTCGTGGGCCATCGCCCAGGTACGAACGAACCTCCCCCCCCCCTCCCTTGCGAATTCTGAATCAGGTTACCGCGCATTGGTGGAAAGGACCCTAACAGTGAGTCCTCATTGGTCGGCGAGATAATAAGCGTGTTTTTCTTCTTCAGACCGTGACGACCATCGCCGGCATCGTCTCCTATCCCTTCGACACCGTGCGCAGGCGTATGATGATGCAGTCCGGCAGGAAGAAGGCCGACATCGTGTACAAGAACACGGCCCACTGCTGGGTGACCATCGCGAAGTCCGAAGGCGGCGCCGCCTTCTTCAAGGGCGCCTTCTCCAACGTTCTCCGAGGCACCGGCGGCGCCCTCGTGCTCGTCCTCTACGACGAAATCAAGACCTTCCTGTTTTAATCTAGCCCGCTAATTAGCTTAGTATCATTCACACTTAATCACTCTCCAAGTTCACAACAGTAGCGAATTCTTTTCACTTCGCTTCGGGTTGCGCCTCTAGAGTCATTCCGGATGAGGGGATCAGGCCAGGGACCCGGACCTGCTCGCTGCCCTGATTTCGCTGGCAACGCATCCACTGCGGCGCAACTGGAAGGGTTCTGTTCTATAGATGGTTTTGGTTTTATAGCGTTTTAGCGACGGTTCTGGGAGGGCGCTTCTGGAACACGACTGCGTTGAACGGATCGCCAAATTGTACAGTGTACATTGTTGAAATGTTTATATATTTTTATCACAAAGACCAGTGATCACCTGATAATAAAAACTTGGTGGTAGTTTGGGGTTTTATTTAATTGTCCCGGTTAACCATAGGTACATTTTTAAAAAATAATTAAATTTGATTTTGTAATAAACAAATGTGTAGGTATTCAGAGCAACATGTAATTAACATCATGCAAGAAACATTGTTGGACATATTTACACTTTTTATTTAATTTCAAATTCATATATATGTATTCGTGTATTTAAAAAGTTCATCAACATGAAATTATTTAAATGTTTATCAAAACTGGAGGAAAATATATCGTCTACGTACTTATAGCTTATAAAATACAAATCTTTGCGTTTTTATTATAAATGGATAATAAATATGTAGTGGTGTTATTAACCAACCACCGTCGTGACTATTAGAGAGGACATCACAGTAGAACTACCACCAAGCGCTAACGTGCACATGGTTGCCTATGTTTAACGATTTTTGATTGATTTTTTTTTCTCAAATTCAAATTAGGTATTCAAATGTGATTTCGCGTCGCGGTTTATGAATACGACGTTTACATAACACGAGGGCAAAAAAGCGTATACAGTATCTAGAAAGCTTATTTATTTGCAAATTTGTCAACACTGATTGACATTTACAAAAATTTAGTGACGTGGCCGTTCCAAATTCCGTTCGTAAATTATAAATGAACATTATAGCGTGTACTGAGGATCGAAGTACAATTGTATGCCTTTACAATGAAACTAATTTTGGTATTCTGGGAGTTAGTTTTCGTTGCGGTACTTTGTCTCGCTCAAGAGAAAAGACCCACCGAGTGTTATTTTTGTTCAATGGCGTGCTTGGATCCCCTGCAGCATGTAAAGTTTTATGCGAACGACACCGTAGCATGTTGGACAATTATTTACAAAACAAGTAAATATAATAATAATTATACCATTACTATGTTGGTAAACGACTTACTTGCAGAATATGGAGATGTAGATCAATACAGATCTTGCGTTGATCCAGAGAATATTAAAAAATACTGCGTCAACGACACTAACACGAAGTGTTACTACTGTTATACTACCTTGTGCAATTGGGAATATTTATATTTCGAAGAAGCCAGTTCGTCACAAATGCATGCGCTGTCATATATCCTTTATTGTATACCTTTGTTTATTATAATAATAAAATTCCAATAGTGGAAACAAAATTAATCTTCATGATGTTTTACGAAACAGCTAAATGCTAAGAACCAGTTATGGAGGATTTCTGTATTGTTATGGTGTTAAATGATTAACGATGTCTTCTTGATAATATACTTATTACAGAAATCTCTAATTGTTACAAATCATTGTCGTCTAACTCAACTTCTCTGTCAGCTGTCACACCAAAGCCTATGCAACTGCCTTTATACTCTAACAATTCTACCTATTCATACATTACCCGGTATGCGACTGATTACACAATTCTATCTGATACAATTATACTTAATTAATTAATTATACCATGACATGTATTTCAAGTTCACTTTGACGCTCTGATGTAAACAGCCCTATGCGAACAAAACATTTGAAAAATTGGTCTAAAGAGTTTAGACAGTACTTCCCTCGCTGTCGGAAACTTGACGACTGCATGCCTATTGTGTTTTTTTTTCTCATTACATTTCTGTAGTGGGAATTTAAAAAAAATTGCGATGACGTCATCAACATTTTTGCAAGTACACGTATATCAGTTGGGATAGATGTAGTGTAATACTAAGAATAAAATTATTGTATTCCCAAATTTTCGGGAAAATGAATCGGGTCGTTTTGAATATTGATTTTTTATAATCAATAAAACAACGAAACAATTTACTCACGTATACGGCGCCGACGTGTAATATGAGAGGGAACTGAAAATCGTGTATGTATAAGCATTCTTAATTTAAGATGACAAGCGTAACAGCATACGTGAGAGTCAAACAGACAAACTGTAAACAAAACGACCATCGGTTTTATTGCTTCGACTTCCGCTTCTTATATAAAACATTGGGTTTTATTTTAATTTTTGACGGTGGAATTCACAATTGGTTGATTATAAACATGTCTATACCATATTCGCGGAACCTAGTCAGCGCACAAAACAAATGCACGTCTGTAATGTAGATGTAAATAAGCGTGTTACCCTTATGTTTCAACCGAGTTTTTCCTTTAACAAATTTTGTGTCTACCAAATTGGGTTGGTTGGGGTGTAATACTAATAATAAGTGTTGCCTTTAATTTAATCAATAAAATAAATTGACTTCATTAATTTTTTTGAGCCACCTCTTAAGAAAATCTAAAAAATATGAATGGAATGATAGATAAATTACAAGTACAAACTCATCATCTTTTTTGCATTTTAGATAGGATTTATTCAGCAAAATTTAAGGGTGACGTCATCAATTTTTTAGGGGGGAAGAGCAAATACATTTTGATAAAAAATTTACCGTGATTATGATAACTTTAAAACATCTCCAAGATTTCAAAGCATTCGGTTCTGTAATTCCTGATTAAATCAATAAAATTAATTGACGCATTCATTAATTTTTTTCAGTCACCCTATATATGCAAATCGAAAAAATTGGTCTAAAGAGTTTAGACAGTACTTCCCTCGCTGTCGGAAACTTGACGACTGCATGGCTATTGTGTTTTTTTCTCATTACATTTTTGTAGTGGGAATTTAAAAAAAATTGCGATGACGTCATCAACATTTTTGCAAGGACACGTATATCAGTTGGGATAGATGTAGTGTAATACTAAGAATAAAATTATTGTATTCCCAAATTTTCGGGAAAATGAATTGGATCGTTTTGAATAATGATTTTTTATAATCAATAAAATAACGAAACAATTTACTCACGTATACGGCAACTGAAAATCGTTTATGTATAAACATTCTTAATTTAAGATGACAAGCTGTAACACCTACCACCCCGTCACTTAAATGTAATGGAGCTTGTAAAAAGCACTTCCACGTAAACTGTTTGAATTTACCCGAACCCGATCTTGTAAAATTTACTGTTAATAAGGATCCATGGAGCTGTTCTAAATGCTTAATAATGACTAACATTACCTCAGCACCTATTACTTTTGCCCAAATGGAACAACTTATGAAAAATCAATTAGATGTACTTAAAGCAGAATTTTTCAATAAAATAGATGACTATTTTGGTAAACTGGATAATAGAGTTTCTGCCGTTGAAAATGATGTCAAATTGTTGAGGAATGAATTAGATACTTTTAAAAACTCTGGGACGTGCAATGTCGATAGCGTTATAGAAGAAATTGAAGATCGTAAGCAAAGAGCATCTAACATCTTATTATTCAACATTAAAGAATCGTCAGCAACAAACGTCGCCGAAAGAGTTGCCGATGACTTTAAAAAAGTTGAAGCCATTTTATCACCTTTAGGAGCATTTCCTAATCCTAAAACAATTGTTCGACTTGGAGTTTCTAAAGATAATCATAATCGTCCAATGAAAATTATTTACAACAATGAAAACGATGCAAAAGAAGTATTAAAGTCCAACAAAAATAACAAAAACCGAAATAACCATTTTTGTCCGGACTTGACGGAAAGACAAAGGAAGCATATAAATGCAGTTAAGAAAGAATTGCAAGACAGGCTTTCGAAAGGAGAAGACTTGGCTTTGAGATATAAACATAACACTCCTTATATAATTAAACGTAATTCTTCTAAAAATGTCCCAAAAAACTAATAAACTGTTACTATCATAATGTTGGGGGAATAAGATCTAAATTAGAGGAATTTTCAATTAATGTCAATAGTTGTGTTTATGATGTCGTAATAATTATAGAATCTTGGTTATGTGAAAAAATACAAAATGAGGAGTTAATGTTACATAATTTTAATATTTACCGTGCAGATCGCAACGAAATTACTAGTGCCAAATCTCGAGGAGGTGGAGTATTGATAGCCATTAACAAATGTTTGAATTCTTCGATTGTATATATTGGTGAGGTTGTTGAAAGTCTTTATGTTTCTCTGAAATTGAACGGTTCAGCTTTCATCATAGCGGGTGTCTATATTCCTCCGAATTCGCACATTAGTGCATATGAATCACATTGTAATGATATGGAAATAGTGTCAGAAAAATTTCCCGATCATAAATTCATAGTTACAGGTGACTTTAATTTACCTGATATTAAATGGACCCAAAACGGTGTTGAAGGACATGGGCATACTGTTCTTAATCAAGACTGCTACGATGTTGTACTTAGTACTTATTCATTTTTAAATTTAACTCAAGTTAATCTAATTCCGAATAATCGAAATACTTTTCTCGATCTAATCTTTACAAGTGTAACTGAAATGAAAATTTACCCTGCAATTGATCCACTAGTAGGGGATAGTATACATCATATTCCTTATTCGTGGTCGATCTGCACCGCTTCAAATCCATCTCTTGAAATAGAATACACTGTATTCGACTTTGCAAATGGTAATTACTTTCTATTTAATGATTATTTAGCTTCTGTGTGTTGGAATACATGCTTTGAAGGTTATGAGCTTGATGAAATGATAGCGATATTTTATGATATTATATATGAAGGTTTAGAAGTTTATATTCCAAAAAAGGTTATAAAAATAAAATCTTCCAAATACCCTCAATGGTTCAGTTCTGAACTGAAAACACTGTGCTACGAAAAAAGGAAAGCACACGCTATATTTAAACAATCGAATGAACTTCAAGATTACGTTTATTTTAAGAGTTTGAGATCAAAATGTAAACTACTATCGAAAAGTCTTTATAGATCGTATGTGGATACTGTCAGCGTTTCCATTATTAACAATCCTAATGTCTTTTGGAAATTTATTCGAGAAAGGAAAGTCCCTAACAATATTCCAGAAGAAATGTCTTATTTAAATAGAGTGGTGAATGGTGGTAAAGAAGTTGCCAATTTGTTCGCAGAATTTTTCTCATCGGTCTATATGGTTAATGATTCTTCTAAGATAATTGATAGTCAATTTAAAGATGAAGTTATTGATACGGGTTTTATAATAACGATTAAGGATATATTTAACACT